GGTTGGGTAAGAACCATGTGTCCCTGAGACTGTGATAGGCAAAGTACACTCCTGTCCTATATCAAAAAATGTGAAAGAGGTCCAGGCTTTTGTGGGGATTATTGGCGGGCTTGTATACCCCATTCAGGGCAATGCCTGGTGACGAAGGGACATGTGTGGGACTGGGGGACCGAACCCCAGGCTGCGCCTGCAAAAATACTGGTCAGATGAGAGCTCTTGGAATCTCATGGGTGAGGCTGCCATTTGAATGAGATGGTTCAGTAACCCTGGAAGGCACAGGCTGGGCATTAAAACAAAAACAGCACCCTGGCTGGTGTGGCTCAGAGGGCTGAGCGCCGGCCTGCCAACTGAAGGTTGTCTGTTCAATTTCTATTCAGGGCATATGCCTGGGATGCCCCGAATAGAAATCCTATGCCAGGTCTCCAGGTGGGCGCTGCGAGAGGCAGCTGATTTATGTTTCTGATGTTCTCTTGCACGTCGATGTTTCTCTGCCTCTCTTTCTTCCTCCTTTCCCTTCTCTCTAAAAGTAAATAAATAAATAAAATCTTAGGGGGAGAAAAGAACAAAAACAGCAAAGGAAGAGAGTTCTCCTTGCATTTTGATCCCCGGCTGTGGAAAGGGGCAGAGATCATACACCACGATGGGACAGCCAGTTCCCGGGAGAAGCTCCCTTCCTTGTCAAGGGCTGCATGGGCAACGAGTCCCGCCCACCTGCCTCGGCCCCGGCTCAGGCTCCTGTGCTGCCTACATGGCATGCCAAAGAAGGAACAGGGGAAGTTCAGACTGGAGCCTAGCACGCTCATGGCCCTAGCTATCCCTCTGCCCTAGCGGCGCTGGCTGCCCAACCGTCGTCCACTGATGCTGTGTGGATGGAAACAGGAACAAGTCACAGTAGCCAATGGGCTGAGTTAAGAGCCACCTGGTTGGTAATCACACATGAACCTTGATCTCTGACCCTGTGTCCTGAAAGTTGGGCTGTTTTAAAAGGATTGACTCTGCAGCTTGGTCAATCGGAAACAAAGGGGTGAATAATTATGAGCAAACCTTTATGGTGGCCATAGATGTGACAAGATATTTGGGCTCATTTATAAGAGCCTCAGATAGATCTATTTGTCTTCTAGGGCCCTGACCATAAGGTGTCAATGGGTTCAGTTAAGAGCCGCCTGGTCACAGAGGGGAGAAGGTGGGGGGCCCTGGTGTGGCCTAATGCCCCGCCCACTCCCCTCTTCAAGCCAGAGCACACCACCTCCCCTGGCCTGCACGAGCGGTTCACGCGGCCTGGTCAGATTCCCAGGGACACGGCCACTTTCACATCTCAGGATCAGGCTGCAAGGTTATCCCTCACAGAAGGAGCAGCTCTCCCAGTCCGAGTCCCACCAGCTGCCTGTCTTTCTGACCTTCTCTCTCTGCCGCTCCCACGGCGCCCGGGCGCAGGGCCGCCCCTGTGCCGTCATCCAAACCAAGTGTCATGCCCTAAATAACCTGACCCCAAGCCTAGGGGATGTGTCAGAACACTGGGTCCTGGGAGGGCGTGGTGGAAAACTTACTGCTCCTCGGACTGTTTAAACCTGTCTCTTTTCTTGTTCGTGGCTGTGCTGTTGCCGTGGACTGTGTCTCCAGTGGAATCCGTCGGCAGCTACGTGAGCTACCTCCACACTCCTAAAGCCCCTCCCGGACCCCTCAGGACACTGTGCAGAAGCGGGCGGTGCGTGAGACTCTGGGAGCCGGTCGGGGGGGCAGAGTGGCCGCTGCGGACCTGGGCCAGAGAGGGGACTGTTGACTGCACCCCTGCTTTAGAGGCGGTCCGATCCTAACTGATGTGCGTTCCGCCACACGTCAGCATCCCTCCCACCGCAGGCTACTTCCTGGACCGGGCCCTTGTCCCAACCTGGTCAAGCATGTAAAGTGATTTCTGTACCTGGAAGTATTTACATACTGGGATTCATGACTTGTCCCCTCCTCAGCTTTGATCTCATAGAATTCTTTGGCACCTGCCGAGGGGCACAGGGATATCTTTCATCTTGTAACCACCAAAAAATAAAGAAAAGAAAAGAAGTAGGAGAAGCCTTTGTGTAGGTTTTCTTAGTCAACTCTGTTAGTTGTCAGACTGGAGCGGCCAGACGAGAGCAGCCTTCGGTTTCCCTGGCCTCCACCTGTGGATGTCGCTTATCAGTTCTGGGGGCTTCCTCTGGGGTCTGCATGTACTAATAATTCCTCAAACATTAGTTTGGTAATCTTTTTTTTTTGGTAAAAAAAAGGTCTTTTACCAAAAATCCAAAAACAAATTGCATTCAAAATTATTTACCTTATTATTCCTTGTAGTTTTAATTATATATATATATACACACACGAATACATTTTATTCCTTAAAAACTTTAATTTCTAGTAAAAACTTAAAAAGCAAGCAATTAGCCTTCTTTAGAGTGGCCAATTTATGAATACATTTCATAACCTCAACAAACATGTTTGTTGTTTGTTTTTACTCATAGATGTATATCATAAGTTTTAGAAGCATATGGTTCCTCAGCAAAACACATGCCATTTTCATTAACAGATCTGATTTTATCTTTCAGTTTCTCTGTAATAAGACAGCAAAAGTAGGTACACTTAGACTTATTTACCAATTAATACTTCAGTATTTTATCTTATTTGAAAATGATCTAGATATTGAATAATTTCCATCATACACAACTTAGCAAAACTCTAAGGCTTCAAGTTACCAAGAGATTTTGGGAAGCTATTTTTAAGTACATATACTATAACATATAAATGTACTTATTGCTAAAAAGTTTCCCTTAAACACCTTTTATTCTATTTACATCTATCTAATTTATTAGTTCTTAAAAATCATATTTAGACTATTTGTGAATATTTTATGATAGATTTGAGCAGTTACCTTCACCTTAAGTTATTTTTTCCTAATAACGTGAACTTATTTAACCAGTAAATCCAGGTAGAATAGAGGTATTATACTTAATGCTTATAATTTTTTTTTTTAGGTTTTATTTATTTACTTTTAGAGAGAGGGGAAGGGAGTGAGAGTGAGGGAAAGAAATATGCGAGAAATACATCAATAGATTGCCTCTCACACACCCCCAATCGGGGACCTGGCCTGCAATCCAGGCCTGTGCCCTGACTGGGGATTGAACTGGTGATCTTCCAATTCACAGGCCGACACTCAATCCACTGAGCCACACCAGCCAGGACAAGGCTTATAATTTCTAAAAACGCACCTATTTAACCAAACCACTGGCCTCCAATCACACTTGACTGCTGCCTCAGGCCTTTGCGAGGCTGCGCATCCAGCCTTGCTCAAGCTCTGCAGCCTCCAGTCTCGGTGAACCTGTCTGCTCCTCAGGGTGCCCACCCTGCTCCCAGACCCCAGTCTGAGTCACCTCTCTAGTTCCCTGACTCACACACAAGTCCTGAGCCCCCACCCACTAATGATGTTTCTTTCTAGAACGTATCAACTTTGGCATTGCATTGTATAACAGTTTAGCTGATTATTCCTTTGTCCCTCCCAGAACAGAGGCCCCAGGCGTGCAGGGAATCGCCTGTTCACCAATCTGTGCACAGCGCCCGGGTGACCTCAGGGTGGCGACAAGGGCGGCTCTGGGGCTTCCCGAAGCTCCTTGGCTCTCCCAGGCTGAATGGAACTGGGAGTGATCATGTCAGTAGCCACGTGACTTGGAACAGGTCGCTCTTTTCTGTGTCTCTATCTATTCCTCTGTGTAATGGTACCGACTCTAGGCCCATTGCTTCTGTCTGTCACAAGCATCTTGTTCATGATACAGTCTTTCCTATAAGGCAGTCAGGCAACTGCTCGGCCGACTGCCTGCTGAGCAGCCCGGTACCAAGGAATAGGCAAGAGTCACACACAGAAACTACGTTATTCACTCAGCTTTTATTGAGAGCAGGTCGCTGAAAGTAGAACCTCAACATACATTGATGTCCTACTCACACTCTAACAATCTAAGAGGGAGTGTAACACACACACACACACAGAGCAGTCAATGGGGGATGATGAACCCGAGCCCCCGGAGTCTCAGTCTGCAGGTCCGGGAGACAGCACAGTGGGCGAGGGAGTTGTCAGCCTCCTGCAAGGAAGGACCTCCGGAGCCAGGTGGGCAGCAGGGCAGGCAAAGTCCTCAGTCCAGCAGGGCAGAGCCTCCGGTGGCCGATGCCAAGGGAGAGCAGCGTGGCGCGGAGCAGCGCTCTGGGGCGTGGAGCTGGCTGTCTCCGCAGTGGTCCGGAGCCTGCCTCGGTTATACCTTGAGACTGGTGGGCTCCATGCTTCTGGGTCCTTTCGATAAATGTCTTGGCGCCCCTGATGCCAAGTGTGGGATTTGCCCAGGGGCCTATGGGTCTTGCTCTGCAGACAGCTCCTCTGACCATGTGTGCAGATATCTAAGTGTGTCTCCTTGCCAGTCATGTCTGCTCTTATAGTTTTCCTCCTGAACCAAAGTCTTGCGGCTGACATTGCAGTTAGCATAAGTGACTCCCCTTTGTTTATATACTTTATGCTAATCTTACTTGGACCACGGCCATTTTACTGGTCCTGCTCTCCACATTGTCAAAGCCCTTCCCCCAACCAGCCTCCCTGACTTATGACCCGAGCAGCCTCCGTCACCAACAAGGTGACCTCAGGACTGGTTGCAGGGTGACAGGCAGCCACTGTTATCAGGGCGCCTTTACATTGCTCAAGTCTCAGGCCACCTAGTTTGGGGGCAGGGAGCCCAGAGAAGCCTAGGAGACCGTGGGTGCGGCAGGAACTTCTCCAGCTCAGTCTCTCAGGCGCCCTAGGTCAAGTGCCTCCTCCAGGAGGAGCCGGGGCAGCGCTGCACGTGCTGAGGCTCATTTATTGCCACCAGGTAAAGGTCAGAGTGTAGGGATCTGAAGTAGGTCCTGGGTCTGAAGGCTTTGGGTATGGGTGCGGCAGAACCACGGGCGCGGCCAAGGAGGAGCAGTAGCGGGGGGCAGTGGCCGTGGTGGGGAGGAGGTCAGGGCGATGCGGTGCCCAGCAGCAGCCGCAGCAGCACGCCGGCCAGCAGAACCAGCGACGGGCCGCCCGAGGGCCCGGGCTGCGCGGCATCGCTCAGGCCGCAGGCGGTGTACGGCTCCAGGCAGGCGGCGAAGGCCATGACGTGCGCCACGAAGCTCTGCTCCTGCACACCGCGCACCAGGTGCGCCTGCGGGCCGCGCGCGAACACCGCCACGTCCTCGCCACCGTGGGTCTCGTCCGACAAGGGCACGGCCGACTGCTGCCTATAGTTGGGGACCCCTGGACAGGCGATCGAGGTTCAGGACTGGAGAGCGGGCGGCCTGTCCCCTCCTCCCGCGAGTTCGCCACCGTGGACGCCGCGCCCGCCCACCCGACGCGGTGCACTCACGGATCTCGCTGTCGCTGACGTTGGGCCGCGGGCCGTCGTTCATGGCGAAGCCGGGGCCATTGCCATAAAGGATGGAGGTGTAGGTCTTGCCGTCCGAGGCGTTCTCAGGAGCCAGCCCTGCCGGGAGGAGGGGACTGGGGTGGCGCGCCGCAGCTCTGCAGCGCCCCCTGTGCACTAAGCCCGGCACTGCGTGCCTGTTCGAGGCTTAATCCGCCGCCCAAGAACCCTGCGAGGCCATTGCTTTCCCCACCCTGTTTGACAAGAGGGCGAACTGAGGCCCGGGACATCTCCTGCCATGTCGTTTGGGAAACAGCACCTGCCACCCTCCCCGGGCCTACCGAAAATGGAGCTGCCACGCAGCGTGTAGCCACCAAAAGTGAAGACGTGAGAGTGGTCGGCGGTGACAAGAATCAGAGTGTCCCTCTCGCTTGTGAGCTGGCTGGCCTTGTGAATGGCGTCATCAAACCTGACAGCTTCAGTGAGCGCCAGGTAAGCTCTGCCGTCGTGATGACCGTGGTCAATGCGACCCCCTGCAGAGAGACCACGCGGGCAGCGGGGGATGGGGACCCCGGCCGAGCCCACCCCCGCCCCGCTCAGCCAGGGCCGCCACTCGCTCACCCTCCACGAAGAGGTAGTAGCCTTTGGGGTTCCTGCTCAGCACGCGCAAGGCCGCCTCTGTCATCTCCATCAGGCTGGGGTCCTGCTCGGCGTCTCGGTAGACGTCGTACTTCATGTCTCCCGGCTCGAAGAGGCCTGTGCGAGAGGGGGGCGGGGGTGACCGACCCGCTGGGGTGGCGGCCTGCGCACACATCTGCGCAGGGACACGCGCGCGGCCGCGCGAGGGCCCGGGAGGCCAGGGCAGGGAGGCGCGGGTGGCGGTGGCGCTGGGGCCATTACCCAGGAGGTGTGTCACGGAGCGGTCCTGGGACGCCTCGGTGAGTGCCGTGCGGTTCCACACATACCGGCCGCCCTGGGAGGGACAGGACCAGGACCAGGACCAGGCCTCAGGCCTCAGGCCTCAGCCCCGGACCAGCGGCCCTCCCTTGTCCCTGCTCTGCCCCTGCGCCCAGGGCCCCTCACCTGGTGCTTGGCCTGCCACTCCTGAACCAGGTTCCGCTTGTCCACCCTGACCCCGTTGTGCTGGGCTTCGCCAGGGTAGTCGGGGTCAGGAGTCCCCTTGGGAAACATGTACTTGCGGCCTCCACCCAGGATCACCTGCGGCCGCAGGACGAGGGCAGGTGGGCTTGGGGCCTGGCGCGCCCTTTGCCCCCGACCCAACAGCCCCTACGTCCCCCGACCTGGTCTGAGGCAGTAAGGCGGCTGGGCTGCGCCTCCTACTCCATCCCAAGCCCCTGAGACCGTGCCAGGCCCCGGGCTCCGGCCGCGGGTTGCCAGGACTGTGGCCTGTGTGGGCGCCCCCGCCAGATCCCCGCGCCCTTCGTGACCCACGTCGATGTCCACGTTGGAGATGAGCTGCGTGGCGATGTCCTGGCAGCCCTCCTGCAGCGCCTCGCGGGGCATGTCGGCGTCCGAGTACCACTTGCGGTTCACCGTGTGCGCGTAGGTGCCGGCTGGGGAGGCGTGCTGCACCCTGGTTGTGGTCACCACCCCCACCGACTTCCCTGAGGGCGGCGGAGGGCAGCGTGAGCGGCGGAGGGCCCGCGCCGCCCCCGCCCCCGCCCCCGCCCCCGCCCCCGCGGCAGCCCCAAGCGCACCTGCGGCCTTGGCCCGCTGCAGCACGGAGGAGACCTCGTTGCCGCGAGTTGTGTTGCACTGGTTATACCGGGCGGCCGCGCTCACTCCGACGGTCTGGTAGTTGGCCTTGACCCCGCACAGGTAGGCCGTGGCCGTGCCCGCGCTGTCTGGCACTTGTCTGTCCACGTTGTAGGTCTGGGGACGGAGACACCCTCAGCTCCACTCTGGGACAGACGCCGCGGTCGCGACCGGGCCCTGAGCCTCCTCCCTCCTGGGGCCCTCCCTCCTGCTAGACCCGGAGGGCCACCACCACCCCGTGGGGCGGACCCCCTGCGGCCACCCAGCCCTTACCTTGGCCAGAGCCGTGTATGGGAACTGGTCCATGGCCAGGGGGCTCTCGGGTCCCAGCTTGCCGTTCATCTGTCCCTTTAGGATCCGAGCTGCTGTCACCGTGGGCACCCCCATCCCTGAAGGAGCAAAGCCCGTCAGGCCTGAGTCCCCGGGGGCGGCTGCGTCCCTGGGCGGCCTCGGGGGCCACGCGCACTCACCGTCCCCCAGGAAGAGAATGAGGTTCTTGGCGGCCGTCTGGATGGGCTGCAGCTTCCTGGCGGCTTCCAGGGTCCGGGCTGCCTGGCGGTTCCAGAAGGCTGGGTCCTCCTCCTCAGCTGGTCAAGGGAACAGGGCGGCCCGGTCAGCCTTGGGGGAGCGCCCGGTGTGTGGGGACCCGCTGGGAGGCCCCCGTTACCTGGGATGACGCCGAGGGAGAGCTGTGGCCTCAGGCCCAGCAGCAGCAGCAGCGCCCAGGCCCCCTGCATGCCTGTGGGTGGCGGGAAGGTGGCGGAGTGGGGACTCCCGTGGTGCTGGGACCCTGGGGAGGCTGGACCTGGGGTAAGGTTGAGACACCGGAGGCCCAGCGGAGACTCAAGCTGTTGGAGCTTAGACCAGGCGAGGACTTTATCCCTGGCTGTAAAAGGCTCCATGTCCCTCCCAGTGCCCCAGGCAGCCACCCCCAACCCCACCCCTGTCCTGTTGGCATAAGGGAGGTGGCAGGGTGTGACTAAGTCTCCAGGTAGATTTCTTGAGCAAGCAGGGCCATCCTTGACAGGGCAGGCCCCGGGGGTCTCGCTCGGTAGTGTGGGGAGGGGGCAGAAGCCCTCCCGGCGGGGAGCATGCACCCTGCTCCTGCCGTCTTGGTGACTGGTCCCTCTTTCAATCCCCACCTATTGCTGTGTGTTTTCCTTGAGCCTCTTGGTTCAGGCTTTGCTCTGGGTGCTGAGGCAGAGGGGAGTGTGTGGACAAATTGGGAGATAATAACCTCACAGGGTGAAATTATCATAAATTCCTGACCCGTTCATGGTGAACATATCCTTCTTTAGTGAAAGGTTTATGTTTGCCTCAAGCAAGTCCTGCCCATTGTCTCTGTGCATCTAAGTTAACCCATCTCTGAAATGTCTCTTTTAAGTCCCTTCTGACGAAAAACTACCCTTAAGAGAGCACAGAACCTTGCTAACTCTCCCAGAATCTCGCCCCCGCCTTGCTTTCTCCCACCTCCCTGTGGTTTTCCTTGTGTTTCCTCCTTAATACTGAATTCGTAAAAGAAGTCTGCACGCTGCCATTCTGCGAAGCATTTTTTTTCCCTCCAGTCTGTGGAGATCTAGTCTCCAGGTGTCCCCTTGTTTAGCTCAAATATTTTTTATGGACGTTCTCCACGGGCTTGGACAGGCTTGGACGGCCTTGCTCGGACGCTGCGTGGACGCAGGCCGCGGGATGGCGGACAAGCCGGCCCAGGACGGCCCGCAGAGCCCGGCGGGTGGGAGGCGGCCGCACGGGCCCCGGGACTCCCGTTGGGTGAACGGGGTGCGTCTGTTCTGGAGATCCCTAACCTACCTGCTTTCGGGAGCAGTTCCTAGGAGTGGTTCTTATGCAGCTGCTTTAAATATCATTGTTTGAAATTGGCTCAAAAGAAGAGTTAAAATTAACGTAGGAAATTGTGCCTCCCCGTTTGACAAGCCCACGGCAGTCAGCCTCTCTTCAGCGCGCCTGCAACCCCTGCCCTTAGCAATTGTGATAAAGCAGCAGTTCTGGCCCATCAGTTATATGAAACTTCTCAAAGGGAAGAAGAGGATAAAGCTACTAAAATTCTCGGTTTACCGTTCCAGCCTCTAAGTGATCAGGTCTGACCTCCCCAAAGGACTTTTCAATAAGGTGAAAGGAGAGTCTGTTTTTACTGTAAAAAGCTACACCGCCTTAAAAAAATTTATAGAAAACCGAAATGGCATTTAGGAAAAAAGGAAAGAAGAAGGAGACAGGAGCAAGCATGGGGCTTCTCTGAGGGCACTCGCCCTTCTCACCAGCGCTTGGCGGGAATGGAAATCACCATCGAAGGGGAAACCGGAAAGGCCCTTGCAGGTGCTGGGGCAACTTTATCTGATCTTAAACACATCCCGCTAAGTTGCCTTCTCTCTTGGAGGAAAGCTTCTGTGCAACTGGCAGGGAGAGCGACTCGACTGATGACTTTTTAAGCCAGTACCTGTCCCCTTCCAAGTAGGGAATGTTGTGGGGCAATGTGTATTTTTGCTGATCAAATCTGCCCCAGTTCACCAGATAGAGCGGAACTTTCTTACGGCCCATCAAGCCTACTCTCCTTTTCTCAGAAGAGTGAACTGTATTTAGAACTAAATGAATCAGTGGCTGAATCGATAGGGAAGGTGATTTAAAGGAACCTCCACAAGGGGACACTAATCCTGAGACTGAACATTTGTGCCAGGACATTCCTACGGAGCTCTGGGCTCTTTCCAGTACAGATATTGGGAAGACTGAGTCAGCCATTTCTGTCAGAATAACTATTGACAGTTATTCTGTCCCCGACCCAGTATTTGCCAATATCCGGATGTGCCGGCTGGAATTAAGCCCATTACACAAGATTACTTCAACAGGGGTTTGTAATTCCGGGTGGAGCCCTTGTAATTCTCCCATCCTTCCAGTAAATAAACCTAATGGAGCCCTGGCTGGTGTGGCTCAGTGGACTGAGCATCGGCCTACCACCTGTAAGGTCATTGGTTCGATTCCCAGCCAGGGCACATGCCTGGGTTGTGGGCCAGGTCCCCAGCTGGGGGTGTGCAAGAAGCAACCAGTCCATGTTTCTCTCACACATCAATGTTCCTCTCCCTCTCTTCCTCTCCCCTCTTCCTAAAAATAAATATATAGAATTATTAGAAAATTAATAAAAGAAACCTAATGGAAAAGGATGGGGATTTGTACAGAATCTCAGAACGTTAAATAAAATAATTATTCCCAGACATCCTGTGTCTCCAAATCCACGTCCGCTTTTACCAGTTATTCCTGTTGACTGCCAATATTTTTCAAGAGATTTATGTAGTGCCTCTTTCAGCATTTCTGTAGAAAAAGACAGTCAATATCTCTTGGCTGTCACTAGGAAAATCACCAATTGAGTTGGACTGTAATGCCCAGAGATATACAGAGAGTCCCACCCATTTCTCTCTCATCCTAAAGGCTGGTTTAAATGATGTTGATTTTCCCAGAGAGTCCACTCTCATCCAATATGTGGGTGATTCCGTTTATGCCCTAGGACATAATGAGATTCCCCCATGGACACAATTTACCCATCACAGCAGTGAACTTGTTGAAAGACAAGTTTCCATCCTCTTTGCCCCAAGTGAAGTACTTGGCCCACTTATATCTAAAGAGGGGCTGCTGATTAACCCGGAAAGGCTCAGAGGGAGAAAGGAACCCTACCCTCTTCTCTTCCAAGAACTGAGAAACAGCTTAGGGGCTTTGTAGGGATATCTGGATATATCACAACTTTTTCCATTAATGGCTCAACCTCTATATGCCTTATTAAAATCACATCGACTTGATCCTGCTCAATGGAACCTTGAAGGGAAACAAGGTATAGAAGCTGCAGAGGAATCCATCCCGAGGCCCGCAGGCCGCATGCGGCCCAACACAAAATCGTAAATGTACTTAAGTACACTTTTTTTGTGATTACGTGTCTCAATGTATTTAATGTGTGGCCCAAGACAACCTTTCTTCTTCCAGTGTGGCCCAGGGACGCCAAAAGACTGGACACCCTGCTAGAGGAAGAGCGATTTGCAGCTCCCCCTAGGAGACCGCCTCATTATACATTTCCTTTCTTCCCTCTTCTACATGCAAAGAAATGAAGTGCTGTAGGAGCTCCGACTTGGAAGCAGGGAGACCCCCACGGTGCCAGAGGGTGCGAGAGCCCAGCAGCTGGACTCGGCAGCAGAAGGGCGCCCTCCCTGCCCAAGGGCCACCTCTGCTGCGGCCACGCCAGGCCAACAAACACGGAGCCCCATGTGTTCCTCATTCTGCCCGAGCTTCGCTAAACTCTCACCAGACTCAGCGTTACTTGACTGGCTTTTTATGAAGGACTCCTGCTTTCTGCCCCTAATGTCATTTTTGCTCAATGTAAATCTTAACCCAGCAATAATACTACCTTCTTTACAGAATGAATGAAAACGCCCATGATTGCATTTTACTTGCTGACCACCTTCTTTCCTTAAAAGAAATATATTTTATTGATTATGCTAGTACAGTTGTCCCAGTTTTTCCCCCTTTGCCCCTCTCTACCTGGTAGTCCCCTTCCCTCCGGCAATCCCCCCTTAGTTCACGTCCGTGGGCCGTGCATGTAAATTCTTTAGCTTCTCCATTTCCCATAGTATTCTTGACATCCCCCTGTCCGTTTTGTACCTACCAATGATGCTTCTTAATCCCTGCACCTTCCCCCCCATTCTCCCTCTTCCCCTTCCCAGGTGATAACCCTCCAGATGATCTCCATATTTATGATTCTGTTCCAGTTCTGGTTGTTTGCTTAGTTCGGTGCTTTTTTTTTTTAGATTCAGTTTTTGATAATTGTGAATTTGTTGTCATTTTACTGTTCATAGCTTTGATCGTCTTCTTTTTCTTAGGTAAGTCCCTTTAACATTTCATATAATGTGGGCTTGATGATGATGAATTCCTTTAACTTTACCCAATCTGGGACGCATTTTATCTGTCCTTTCATTCTAAACAATAGATTTGCTGGATAGAGTAATCTTGGATGTAGATCCTTGCTTTTCACCTCTTTAAATACTTCTTTCTAGCCCCTTCCTGCCTGCAAGGTTTCTTTTGAGAAATCAGCTGACAGTCTTATGAGAACTCCTTTGTAGGTGACTCTCTGCTTCCCTCTCGCTGCTTTTAGGAGCCCTCCTTTATCTTTAACCTTTGGCATGTCCATTATGATGTGTCTTGACGTGGTCCTCTTTGGGTCCAGCTTGTTTGGGACTCTCTGTGCTTCCTGGACTTATGTGTCTATTTCCTTCACCAAATTAGGGCAGTATTCTTTCATTATTGTTTCAAATAGGTTTTCGATTTCTTGTTCTTCCTCTTCTTCTGGCCTTCCTGTATGTGATTTGGATGTTGGAACATTTAAAGTTGCCCCTGAGATTCCCAGGCCCATCCTTGTTTTTTGAATTCTTTTTTCTTCCTGCTGTTCTGATTGAATGCTTTTTCCTTCCTTGTGTTCCAAATTGTTGATTGGATTCTCGGCTTCATTCTCTCCACTGTTGGTTCCCTGTAGATTTTTCTTTATTTCACTTAACGTAACCTTCATTTCTTCCCTTATGTTTTTCTGTCCTCAAGGAGTTCTTTGAGCACCCTGATCACCAGTGTTTCCAACGCTGCATCTGATAGGTTGGCTCTCTCCATTTTGTTTAGTTCTTTTCGGGGGTTTGTTCTGTTCTTTCATTTGGGCCTTACTTCTTTGTCTCCTCAGTTCGGCAGCCTCCCTGTGTTTGTT